AAAATGGGCGTAGCACCGCCCACTTGTGATCACATATATGTATCTCGCTAACCGTTCTAGCAATTTGTACCAAGCTCGGTATGGTTATTGTGCTTGCCACATAAAAGCAAACCGTTGAAAATTGTTGAAATCGGACTAAAATTGAGGCCGCTTTTCATATAACGGTAAATTTCAGATATGCTTGAAACTGCAATATTTCGAAATTTAAGGACGCTAATTTACTTAAAATGTATACACCCCGGCTTATCATGTAGCGTTAGCTTTCGGAAAGGTGGAAAACATATATTTAATACTTGCGCCGGGTATTTAATGTTCGGCTCCGCCCGAACTTAGACTTTCTTACTTGTTTCTATTTAGGTTGTTGAAAAGTAATGAATATCTAAATCCCGGGACTTAGCCCGGGATTCCGGGATTGTGGTAGCGACATCCCAAAATCCCCGGATCGTAAAAAGCGAAAACATCCCTAGTATGTACATTTGTATGCACGTACATACATACATACACACGTATGCAGTATTTCCTTAAATATTTCTGTGTGGTCATTCAAATATCACAATGGATTTTCAAAAAGACTGACTTTAATAAATAATTGCTAAATCCAGTAACAAAAATGGTTACCTGGTCACACTGATAGCAAGCCATAAATCACTTGAAAAACATTTTGTGTTCCCAGAAATCTCGTCCGGTTCTCGCTTACCAGTTTTGTATGGGCATTGACATGGGTGTGTCAAATGATACAAAAAGATTCAGTGTCGCTTTGTTTTATTCTCATTCAGCCATGCTGCGTTGCAGCGTGTCGTGCCGCTCTCTAGGACTCCTAAACTTATGTGGTAAAATTTTGAAGCATTTATTAGGGTCTGATTATGCATACTTCGCATAACTTCGCACAGCCATTTGTACCAGTGCACTAAAAGTGTAACTTAAGAAAATGTGAAGCAAAATTTAAACTCAACAGATCGCTAAGTTTTTAAAAGTTCTGCTAATTTCTGGTTAATGGAATACATACAAAGTACATACGAAATTACAGTTTGAAGTTTTTGCAAAGTTGTGCGAAGTTATGCGAAGTATGCATAATCAGACCATTAGCTAGCAAACGTGCAGCAAATATTTTGCTTGCATTTCAGCATCTCAGTCGAATGCTCGGTGTTAAACATGAAGGTAGTTTGTTGACGTTGCCGACTTCGAAACTATTGCTTAAGTAAAAAGTGAATAAAATACATATATATATATATATGTAAAATAAATCGCTATGGCTTGCCGACCACTGGTATAGACAATCCGCCAACGATAGAAATAAAAGCATCTTAAACAACAATAAAAATAAAAGCTAGTTATCAAAAATCAATGTGTACATATACATACATACGTAGACATGTATGTATGTATGCATGCATATGTAAAACCATAGTTTACAAGGAAACTACAATCAAAACAATTCAGCACAATCTTTCTTTCTTCGTTGGAGCAATAGCGTACAATAACAAAATTCATTGATAAGAAAATACCAAAGCTGGGTGCTTGGAGAAAGCGGGAACACTCATCCCACTCCACAAGCAAGTCTAGGGGTGTCCACTTGAATAATACCTCGATGTAAAACATCGTAAGCTTGCATCGATGTTTCACGATGTATCGCTTAAGTACATCGATTATTTTAAGTATCAGGATTACTTTAAATTTTCCATGCTAAAAAGTTACTTTGCCATGTAAAGATTCGGTTCATCCATTTTCTATTTTCCTGTAGGGATAACATAAGGACAGAAACTTGAAGAAAATTTGCATTAAACAAATTAGAAGAAAATAAAGTTCATGTTAAAAGGAACTGGAAATATTCTTTTAATTTAATAAATTTTCTGTTGAAAATTTACGTGTTATGCATTTATATACGTTTCTTTAGTTTTTTCATCTGTATAATCATCTAGGTACATACATATATAGCTTATCATACATGTTTAGTGAACGGAAAAAATCTAAACAATAACAATTTGTTGAGCCGCCTTCAATCCACACGATTTACTAAGTATTCGAGAGTGTAATGCTCATATCATTCCACATAGTCACTCGCATTAAAATACTGAAATAATTTAACTTCGAACAAATGAAATTATTTCCTAAAACAATTTTATTATTCCTTGGCATTAAATCGCGAATTAATTATACATTGATTAGATTTTTTCATAAAAACATCGATGTATTCATGAAAAAACTCCTTATCCAAACATCGTATCATTCCGATGTATCGACGGCTAACGTCGAATAAATTCAAACATCGATATTTTTTGAATATCCCTAGGAAAGGCTAGACAGACCCAAACAGACTAGAAGTAAACATCAGTTACAAAGACGGAGATTTTATATCAGGGTAACCAACTCATTTTTGAGACTTCCCCGATTTCGACAATGAAATTCCCCAATTTTGCTCGAAATATCGTAAAATTCCCCACCCATAGATATTTCCTAATTTACAAAAAAAAAAATATGTATTTTGATATATTGCTGGTCTGTTTATTTTATTTTTAAATGTAAATCATTTATGTATTCATAAACCAAACCAAACTTTTATAAAGTTAGTTAACAAATAAAGTATAAAAAATGTTTATATAATATTTACATAGGTACATACAGTGGTCGAAAAAATTTTAGTCGCAAGAATTATTATATTTTTTTTGTTATTTTTTGCATAAAAATATAGTTCATTCTTTAACAAATACCGTGTAAGTCCAAGTTTCAAACTTTGTGCTATATTTGAAAAAAATTCAACAAACTTTTGTAAAAATTTCGAGCTTTTTAATTGGATTTTCTAGAAAGATGTTGAGTATGCGGTTTTGGTAGCCCACTTAATTTTATTATAATAAAGTGCAAGTTTCGTTTTAGTTTTTTTTTGCCGACGTTTTTGCGGCTTTCTTCCATATAAAAATAAATTATGTTTTTTTGTTATATGAAAGCAAATGCGTCAAGGAAAATTCTAAAAAAACAACTGTAATTTTTGGCCATTTAAAACTTTATTTTTCTAGAATTGAACGATATGAAATTCCACAATTCGCGGAATTCCCCACGAGTTGGCTTCCCTGCTTTGTATGCACGCTTTAAGATGCATATGTATGTACTGCAACAATTTAAATATATTCGTGTACAGACATATGCATGTATGCATTTCACTGTGGGATGTGCCCTGACGGAAAAAATAAGTCCGTTTCAAGAATCAATATATGTATGTACTCAAAATGTAATTATTTGTCAAATAATTTTAAATTAATAGGTCCAATCCCGTATTCCTCGGACTAGAACTAGTAAAACTGTCAAAAACTAAAAATTCACGTTTAGGTGTAAAGTTTTGCTTATTTTTTTACGTAAACACACTCAGCTCAAACATGTAAATAACCAAAAGTACTTTCAAACTGATTAGAATCCACTTAAGCAAGTAAATTAATACTTTTCAACATGCATTATCAGAGTGCACTTTTGCTTTGTTTACAATTCGGTTTGTCAAACACACTACAGCTGATCGTTTGATATATTTACCAGAATTTACCAGTAAAAAATCTTCGGACTAAAACTGGTAACTTCTGGCAGAGAGGACCCTTTTTACTCGATCGATTCCAAGTAAAATCTGACGGTTTGTGACTGGTTCGGACTCGTAAGGGATCGCAGCTATTTTTAAACAAATACAAAGCAAGACAGTTTTCATTCAATATTTTCTTTCGCCATCTTATTCGTAAACTTCGTTTTATTTAAGTTGTTGAATTTAAATTACAAGTAAAGTAATTGAAAATAAATTCAGTATGGGACAATTGACTGCCTTCTATGACAACCCATATTAAATAAATTAGTTCGCTGCAAGAAATATCAATTAGTTAGTTGTTATTGAAAAAAGCATAAACTAATTTTAATTTAATTGTATTTCCAGCAGGGTAGTGATATCGCGATGAGGCTCATGCAAAAGAATATGAAAATTAGTACATTGTGTATGTATTTATGTATGTACGTAGTATATATGTACCCTGTGGGGAAAATCTCTAGTTCTGAACTGGGGCGCTTTTAGTCCATCTAGACCCAGTACTGGTTCGCGATAAATCTCTTTTGCATGCAAGCAACTGGCGAATTTAACATGGCGATGTCCTAGGGAGTGTCAATTGCCCCCCGCTGCATACCTTTTTCGATAGTTCCGAACAAGTCCTAAATTCTATAGTTCCGAACCAGTTTTGAAACCGAAAGACGAAAGAAAAAAGTATCATGATTTTTCAATCTTTTTGGTTCTTCCGTGTGTACGATTTTAAGTTATTTTGGAAGAAATGTGTTTTCAATTTGAAATTAAATTTGTTTGAATGATTGTAAGAAATGTACGTTTACATACCTTTAGCTGTAGCTGAGTTTTCAGAGGTGCTCGCTGTTATTTCTTAGATTCCAGACGGTCCCAAGATGTTGAAATGTTAACACAAATTTTAGTTTTGTATTACCAAGCTATGAAAAAGCATCTGCAAAGCGCAGAATAGAAGCGTATTTGAACGAAAAAGCCGCCGAACACATGTAAAGTAAACAAGCCCCCCGCTGCATCCCTTATTCAATAGTTCCGAATTAGTTCTAAATTCGACAAATAAGATCTGGTTCGTTCTGCGTCCCGTTTTCTATTGTTCCGAACCATTCCTAAATTCGTCACTTTAGATATAGATGTCTAGTGAAAAAAACTGAAAAAATTAGCTTTTTAAAAGTACCACTTTTCGCCGATTTTGGACTGGTGGGGATTTAGTTCCTATCTTCCTAGTTCATTTTTGGCGATAAAGATCTAGTACGGAACTACCAATTTGGTTCACCAGTTCGGGGTTTCCCTGCAGGGTATCTTTGTATGTGCATGCGTGTGCGTGTAATTGACAACTAAAGAACAAGAGGGAGAGAGCGCATCAAAGTCACAAAGAGTGGGTCGATAATCTCGGCGTGGTTCAGTCGATTTCGCTGCGCTTGCGGTCAGTGATCAGTCAAGAATCGGAAGCGTTGGAGAACGTTTCGTGACCTGTGGACAACTGAGTTCAAGTGTTATTAACAAAATACTTGTAAATATTTATAAATAACCAACAAAAAAAAGTCCAATTTGTGTAGTGTTTATGTTTTTGTCAATAAAGTAAAGATGGAACAACTGACATCGTTGCTGATTACTTTGGCTGCTTTACTAACGCTCCTGCCAAATGTTCTACATGCAAACCAGCCTGTTATTAGCCATATTTCCAAAGACGTTGTCGCCAGTGTAGGTGAAGATGTACAGTTCAACTGCACTGTTGAGAATGTTGGTCGTATGTCTGTTAGCTGGGCCAAACGATCTGTTGTCTTGTCTATGCGAAACATATTAAGTTTGAGCGACCCGCGTTACACGATAAGCGAAACGAGGGACGATGATGCCGGCAGTGCTACTTACTCTCTGAAGATAACGAAAATCGAGGCGAGCGACATGGGGCCATATGAGTGCCAAGTGATTGTGTCTGCAACTGATAAAATTACAAAGAAATTAAATTTGTCCATTAAGCATCCACCAATCATATCAGAGGAACGTACGCCGAAGTCCAAACTAGTTACCGAAGGACAGAATTTGGAAGTGAGTTGCCATGCCACTGGTTTCCCGCAACCCACTTTGTGGTGGAAGCGTGAAGATAATGCTATCATGCCGGCTGGTGGTCCAATTCTTTCCGGGCATATACTGCGCATCAAGGAGGTACATCGACTTGACCGCGGCGCTTACTACTGTGTCGCTGACAATGGCGTAGGACAGCCTGACGAGCATAAAGTGCTGATTGAGGTGGAATTCCGGCCACAAATCGCTGTGTTACGTCCCAAGGTGGCACAAGTTTTGGCACACGTTGCTGAATTGGAATGCAGTGTGCAGGGATATCCTGCTCCTGCCGTCTTCTGGTACCGCAATGGTGCCAAACTACAGTCGAATTCCCGATACGAGATTTCCAATACTGCCTCATCGCACGAAACCACAACATCCGTACTTCGCATAGCAAGTGTTTCCGAACCGGACTTTGGTGACTACTACTGCAACGCCACCAACAAATTAGGACATACAGATGCACGGCTGCATTTATTCCAGCCGGTGATTCCAGTGCCTTCTTCTCTTTGAGATGAGTATTAAATTTGAATAATGGTGTTTTCACTTACCTTCGTATTCGTATAATGCGAAGGTTTGCAAAGCTGAAAACGGACGTGCTGTACTCAGACATGAAGTGCTTCGTTTATATTTAAGCTTATTATGTATGTGTGTTGTATTACACAAATTTGACTGGCGAATTTTTTAATAATATACCATGTATGTGTAAGTACATATGTATATCATTTTATTCTTTTTGGACCATTTCTTTTGTCAATTCTTTTAATTCAATTAAATTTGATTGACTCGAACAAATAACGCACACGTTTGGTTCTTTTGATTTCAAAGAGAATGATTTAAGGTTTGTGATTACGCTTAATACATACTCTTATATATATGTGTATATACGTTTGGATATTAGTATGCACTTACATATACATAAGTATGTAACACTTACATATGTAAGTACATTTGGATGACCGTTATATCGGAATAATATCACATTTCTTTGGTCGCATCCAGTAGATAAGTGAATATTAGTGAACTAATTTTTGATACATTTTTTAACTTTTCTGACTATTTTCGTTGTCTGTGAGATCGACGCATAACTTTTTCGTTGATAACTTTAAAACAAAAAGTGGAAACTCCCTTATTCTCTAAGTATTTTCGCGATTAATCATTATAGCTCAGTTATGCATACCTGGCGTTGCATGAGAGTTGTCACATAAGGAATCTGTTAAATG